AATAATGAATTGATCGAGCATCGGCATGCATACCTGATTCATAAATTTCATAAACACTACATGCGCATTGGTGAGCCCAAAGGGCATCACCTTGAATTTGTAATGACCATATTGATTCTGAAACACAATCTTCTCTACATCCTCCTCTCTAACCATCACATTATAATACCCCAAACACATATCGATCTTGGAGAACCAAGATGCAACCTGCAACTATTCAAAGAGGTCGTTAATCTGTGAAAGGGGATAACAGTTCTTCACTGACAACTTGTTCAACTCCTAGTAATCAATGCACATCCGGTGCGATCCATCCGTCTTCTTGTCAAAAAAATATTGATGCTCCGCACGATGAACCTCTCGGTCTAATGAACAACTTTCCTAATAACTCCTGAAGCTGAAAGGACAACTTCTGCATCTCAGGCGGTGAAAATGGTACAGTGCCTTTGCAATCAGAGCCGCACCAAACACTAAGTCAATCCTGAACTCAAAAAACCTCTCGGGAGGCACACCAGGTAACTACAACGAAAACATATCAGCAAACTCCCTAACAACTGCCACATCTAAAAACTGATGCCTGCTCCACAACCCGTGTATCAACCACATAGGAAAGGTAACCCATATAACCATGTTGAATTTACTGTCGAGCGCTCATCGTTGAATAAAACCCTTACTCGATCCTGGTACCCTCTCCATAGATGACCAATACTCCCCAACTTAGGGTTTGAACTACCACTCACTGACCCTCATAGTCTATTATAACACCAAATATGATCAGCCAATCTATCCCTACTATCATGCGTACATCCCCTATGAGGTTAGGAATCAAATGAATTGGATTAGGCACCTTGAAGATGTCCAAGACACAACCCTGATACACTCTGGATGCAGATATTCCATTTTTGTTGGCGATAGAAACCCGCAACGGAGACTCCAACTCATTAAGGGCCATAACAAAATCCCTACTAAAAGACTGAGATACAAAGGAGCGACTTGTGTCCGAGTTGTATAACACAAGAGTTGGCAAAGAATTCACTAAGAATGTACCTTTCAAAACATGAAAATAAGAACACCAAAAAATAATTGACAAAATGATAAATGGAAACAAATGAGTAGCAACCTCAAACCCTCAGGGTCTCCGCCCTACCCTGGTGCCCATCGGTGATCCTCAAAGTAGTTGGCGCTAGGGCCTGCGCTGGTCATGTAGTGAGTAAAGGATAGTTGGTGTTAATATGGCCAACCTGCTCATAGTGATAACAAATCCTGGTGGTCGGTGTGTCAACCTACTGGCGACAATCGTTGGCGTAATGCCCCTCCATACCACATTTTTGGCACCCTAAAGTAGATCGACAAGGATGCTCAATAACCTTGCTAAACTTGCCACAAGTTAGGCCCCTCTGACTCCTAGATCTTACATCAACGGCCTTGAACAGCTTCGCCGCAGGTTGTGACTGCACAAAATCCTACCTCGTCTCCCTTGTTTGGAGCTCCAACTCAATTTCCTGCCTCCTAGCGGCCCTTTTGTACCTCTACAAGTGCACCATAACATTGAGTTGACACAAATCGGTGGATGTTCATCTTGAGCATGCTGAAGTACCGGGTCATCTGAGATGTCTCAGAAGCAGCAAACTCATGACAAAATAATGATCTCTCAGTAAACATCTTGGTTATCTCTGTCACCGACTCTATCCCCTGCCTCAAATCCAAGTATTCTTCGGCCAATCTCTCCCTCTCAACCAATGGAACATATCTCGTGCGGAACATCTCAGAGAATTACTCCCATGATATAGTAGCCCTCTACTCTAGAGTGTAAGAGCTAGTAACCAACCTCAAACGAATCTTTTTCCCCCAACCAAAGAAGGTTCAAGGCTTACTTGACCTTCTGCTCAGCTGGGTAAGAGCAAGTAAAGAAATATCTCTCGACATTAGAAAACAACCTCATAGCAATGATCGGATCCTGAACCCCATCGAACACTGGGGCTTCGTATTGTCGAAGTCTCGGTACTAGAAGCCTCGATCTCCACGAAACTCAACGACCGCAGCGGTCGTGGTAGCTGCAATAACAACAACCTCAGAAAGTGCAGCGTAATGGTCAACAGAGTACTTAATCATGACAGTCTTGATGGATCCGAATTGCTCCCGTATCTGAACTCAGATAACATTCACAACCTCAAAAGAAATCAACGCCCTAATCTCATCCTCAGTCATCCACGACCTATCATGGACACTCGCTCCTGCTCTTGATCCGGGAAAGCCTCGTGAACACCATACTGAAAATAAACAAGAAAATATCAGATAAGTCACATTTCATACCATATGAGCTATTTTAAATAACGAAACCCTGGGGGTAGTGACTTTCCTGCTACGCGTACGAGTCTTGTGCTTCCGGTAGTACGGGCCCATACTACCTTCGACACATACGTACATTTGTCTTAGAAAATCATCACAACAACCTTAACAACACATGCTAGAATATGAATACATCCTATTCTCACTCCTTAGAGAAAGGCTATACATTCCTGAACTGGTCGGCTACTTATATATACCCCATTCGTAGAACTTCCAATACTTGCTAATAAACAAATCATTGGTACTACATACTCGCTAGGATATCCTAGGATCCACACATCACCCTACTATCAACTATCAAACGACACCCATTGATGCCAGTTAACTACTACATGAATACAATCACATGCAACATAACTTAAATTATCTTAGATTAAAAGATTCAACCCCACAATGGTTGGACTCAGACAAGAGCTGCACAATAGGACCAAATCCTTCACTTTACAATTATTTAACCCATGTAGCATGTGACTTAAAGTATTCAATTAATAGTCAATTCACACCTGAAAGAGTTCTACAAGAATAAACAAGAAAAATCTATAGGAAATAAGGCATCATACAACAAGCAATTCTATCATGTAATTCTTGAAGATCCTTATCCTACAACTAGCATGTTGTTCTACCATATCATAACAACTAACAGTGTGGGTAACTTGTGGTAAACTTTTTTACTCCGACTGATCGTACACATCGCATCCTTCCTGGGTTGTTTTTTTGAAAAAACTTTTGAAAACAGTTTAAAAACTTTTGCAATTCTCTAGTTTGAGTATGGATTCACACGAATGTTCATCTAATTCTCTCAAACCAAGGCTCAATACAAACTTGTAACACTCCAAAAATCAAGGAAATTTTAAATTTTCAAAATGAACCATTAACCAACATTTTTTACAAAAGAGTTATTGTTTTCAAAAGCAATAAATCAGTATCAGAGTTTTTCCAAGACCCAATGACATAAAAAACGAAGATGTGCATGATCACACATTTACCTTCCTATGATCCATAGAAGTACCTAAAATGATAAAATAAAAACTATAAGCAAAAGCTTAGTGAGTTCCCCCAAAGTACCAACACACCACATAGCAAACAAGCATACAAATCTGAGCAGCCAGCCTGACTGGATCACCTCGTAGGACCTACAGCCAATCCGAACCTCTCTATGGGTCGTCGGTTTGATTGAACCGCCTCGCAGGTCCTACAACCTCTCTTTATTTGTCTCTCTCTCTCTCTCTCTCTCTCTCTCTCTCTCTCTCTCTCTCTCTCTCTCTCTCTCTCTCTCTCTCTCTCTCTCTCCCTCCAAGCAATTAAAACTTCAAACCTTTATAATTAATGCATATGCACAGCCTCTACATACCTCTGCATTAACTCCTTCTTTGGTTGTCATCTCTTCAATCCTCTAACCTCTTCCTTTTGTTACCTCCTCTCCTCTCTCTCTCTATCTCTATCTCTCTCTCTTTCTCTTTCTCTCTCTCTCTCTCTCTCTCTCTCTTTCTTTCTCTCTTTCTCTCTAAGACTTTTTTTCATAATAAATTAGGTGATTTTCATTCCAACACCACCTGAAATTACTCTTTACTATCTTGAAAGTGGTTTTCCATTGGTATTGTTCTCTCCCTCGAATATTAGATCTTTCACTTTAAGCATCACAAGAAAAAAAAACAGTAAGTCGATCTTCTCCAATTTTGTAAGTGATAAACTGATTATTATTCTACGATGTTCTACTTTGAAAGAGAAGATAGGGTATGAAATTGAAAGACATACAGAGGTTTTGGATATATTTTATTTTGAACTGATGTATGTTTTATTTATTTTGGGGCTAAATTTTCTCACATTTGGTCTTTCATAAGCCAGATGGGTTGAAAATTATATTTGTTATATTTGTCTTAGTGTAATTAATAGAATTTTCCATTTAAATTCATCTTTTATATATATATATATATATATATATATATACACACACACACACACACACCATTAACATACCCCTTTATCAAAAAAAAGTAACGCTCACAAAATACCTCTCTTTCTAGAGAGATGGGGAAGGGATATATATATATATATATATATATATATATATATATATATAGAGAGAGAGAGAGAGAGAGTAAAAAAAAGTTCAAAGTCATTAAAAGTTGACTTTTTTCAAAAAATAAAAACATATTTTCTTCTGCAACATATAGGTGTATTTCGTTTGTGTTTATGTGTGCAATTTGCTAGTCAAAAGTTGACTTTATTTATGTTTAAAGTTTTTTTGTTTTAATGTGGAAAATTAATGAGAGTCACAACAATATTTGTTTCTTGTGAGCTTGGATATATGTATTTTTAATGGATGTATCATGTATTATATATTTTTGTTTTAAGAAATTTATTATACTCATACGTACCTAATAGTTTTTAGCCATACACAATAATTTATGTTTTATATATTTGTATTGTACAACTACATAATACATAAATCGTTGTGTATCGCCAAAAATTGTTGGGTACAAATCATTATCTAATTTTTATTATCAACCTCAAGCTAAGCTCTTCATAAATTCGAGCAGAAGCAGCCTTGAAAGGAGAGATGTTTCAGCCAAACATGATTGAAAATCATCATCATCATCATCCTCTTGATATGAGTCATAGAGCCCAAGAAAATAATCTTCTTAGGCTTAGAGATGACTATCTTGATAGTAAATCCGGGAACGATATCATGGAAGCTGTTTCAGGCGATGATCAAGATCCCAGTCAACATGCCAATAAAAAGAAACGCTACCATCGCCATACTCAGCTTCAAATCCAGGAAATGGAAGCGTGAGTTATTCTTTTACCCTAATCTTGAATATCTCATTTTTGTTGGTTTCACTCTAATGGGTGTGGTTCGAACCCAGCTCAGGTATGTAGTAACGGATAAAATTCTTTAATTTCGTGTTTTTTTTACTGAAATCATAAAAATTATTTGTATTAAATACAAATTTGGAAGGAAGTGAGTGCAGATTATACATGTTATTAATCCTTCCTTGACTCCTTTTAGGAGAGAAGTTTGAATTACTCTTTTCGGTTGTTGACCTTTATACTAATACATATACTTGTAGGTTTTTCAAAGAGTACCCCCATCTCGATGATAAGCAAAGAAAGGAACTTGGAAGAAGACTATCCTTGGAGCCTTTGCAGGTTAAATTAATTGCATAGGTGACTATAATATGATCCTGGATCTCTTTAGTAATTTGTATAGTTGGTTGTCTATTAGAGCTGAGAGGCTCAATATAGCAATTTCCATATTGTTCAAAGCATATAATATGTACACAGGAATAAATCTTGAACGGGTGTATCCGAGTCAGTTGGTCCTATATGGAGAAATTTTATTTATGATGATATATACATCCATGATCCTTTATTAATTTTGGTAATCAGACATCAATTGGTTTAAATAGTTGCAATTTTCTAAATGTATAATAACTAACGACACTAATTAGCTAGCTGTTTTAACCTTTTTTCCTCTCATGTAATGAATATATACAATTTATTAATTACTTGTTATTAATTTATTTGTGATGGAACACACCTAGTCGAATGTTGATTGTATTTGCACTTATATTTTTAGGCTCAACATGAACGCTTTGATAACTCTAAGCTAAGGAATGAAAATGAAAAGCTCCAGGCAGAGAACGTACGGTACAAGGAAGCCCTTGCAAACGCCATGTGTCCTAACTGTGGAGGCCCAACTGCTAATGGTGAGATGTATTTTGATGAACAACAGTTGAAGATTGAAAATGCTCGTCTACGAGAAGAGGTATGTTAGATTTTACCCTAAGAAATAATATTTTCCTCACAAGTTTAAGCATAGTATGTGCTATTTTTATAACATACCAAAGTTATTTCTTTGGATTTTTTAACAGATTGATAGGATATCAGGAATTGCTGCCAAGTATATTGGCAAGCCAATGCTCTCTAACCCTGATGCATCGTCTCAAGGACCCCTTCGCTCACTTGAATTACCTGTGGCTAGTTTTAGTCCACAACAAGGGATAGTAGGCGAGATGTTTGGTGAAAACGACCTTCTTCAGTCCTTAGCTGGCCCTACTGAGACTGAGAAACCTATTATCATTGATCTAGCTGTTACAGCCATGGAGGAACTAGTTAGAAAGGCTCAGGTTTGCGAGCCCTTGTGGGTTCCAACATCAAATAACTCTCATGAGATTTTAAGCGAAGATGAGTATGTGCGGTCATTTCCTAGAGGCATTGGACCGAAACTAATGGGATTCAAATCTGAAGCTTCAAGAGAATCGATGGTCGTCAGCATGAATCATATGACTGTTGTGGAAATTCTAATGGATGTGGTATATATTTACTAAACATGCTATCTTTTTGTGGTTACTTTTATATCCGTTATGAATCACCTCACTAATCTAACCATGATTTTTCAGCATCAATGGTCAAATGTGTTTTCTGGCATTGTTTCAAGAGCAATGACTTTAGAAGTGCTTTCAACCGGAGTGGCTGGTAATTATAATGGAGCTCTTCAAGTGGTAAGAAATAAGTCATCAAATGTCTTGTGGATCTACTGCAATAATTCAATTGATTCTAGATATTTTTAGCCATATTATATTTGAAATTTAAAATGTTGTGAAATACATGCTTCACAATCACTTCCGAATCTTAGACTTAAAAGTGTAGACCGATTAATCAAATTGATCGGTACATGTCACTACAAGAAATATCACCCATTCAGACGAAGCATAAAAGCGATGTCTTCTCTTCCAATCCATTCATCTTTCAGGATCAAATTTTAGAGTTTAGGGTTTAAGGTTTAGAGTTTAGGATCAAATTTTAGAGTTTAAGGTTTAAGGTTTAGGGTTTAGGGTTTAGGGTCAAAAAAGGTAAAGTAATCTCTAGGAATCTTGTAGTCTCTATATCGGCCCTTAAATGTTAGATTTTCTAGAGTTAAGCCAATGTACACCATCGTTTAGAACGGTTGGAGACGAGTTATGCAAGAATTACACTAAAGTGGAAAAGTAGGGGGTATTGTTTTACTTTTGTATTTACGACGGCGTGGTTGAAGATAGCCGATAGGACCGTTATCTCATCCTCATTGAAAACCGTTTTCATAATCAATTGATTTTTGAAATCGTTCTAAGGT